CCCCCTTGTACATAGAGTATAAGCTGCATATGGTCCATGCACGACACCGGCGCTCCATAAAATCTAATCTAATCTCAATGATCTACCCTTTGCGAATTAGATCGATCAGACGGCGGTCGTATACAAACAGTGGTTTGACGTTACATAGAAATCCACGTGGAATTCGTAGCCGGCGTCAGAGCGACCATTCGCGTGCAGCGAGATGCACGCCTGCATTATGAAGGGATGAAATTATCGAGTACTTTACCTCCGTCCATCTTCCACCCTTTGCATATCTCTCTCTTTCACTCTCTCACTCTCGCTCTCGTTCTCCCTTTCCCTTTATCGCTCGCTCCTTCTCCCTCCACGCGTACATTGCGACAAATAATTGTCGCATCGCATTACAACTTTCGTATACTCCGTCTGTGAGCTATTTGTTAACGAATTCTTCAGCTGAAAAAGATAACGTCCCTGAAGAAAGAAAAAAGGTCTTCCGCCTCGCGATGAATTGATTGTTCCTCTCAGCCTCTGAATGTGCCACACACAGAGTGTATCTAACTCCTCGTTCACAACCTTGCTTTAATCTTTAAGCCGTAATAAATTGACTAACCACAGACGATTATTTTAAAAATAATCAACTGTGGTTGGTCAATTTCTTACGGCTTAAAAATTAAAGCAAGGTTGTGGACAAGAAGTATTTACTCGACATGATTTCTAGTAAATCAAAGAAAGATTTCTAGTAAAAAGAAATAATTTAACGGGAAAACAAACTCTTATAAAATAAATAAGAGTTGCAGAGTCAGGTGTGTATTCACACGCGTGTATTCTCTTACTTCCTAACAGGGTGAAGAACAGCGTTTTTCTTGCGCTTTACGCGATCCCTTCACCGAGAACGCGGGGGAAACTTCTCGCGAATATTCCGCAACGAACGAGCGCGCACGAACGCGCCGATGGACAAACCAACAGCGAGAGATGAGCCGCGCGAGCTGTGGGAATGGACTCAACACCGGGGGTGTCGTTAAAGGGGATTATTGCGCCGACAATGAGAGCGACCTCAAAAAGGGGCAGCATCCGGTCTTGAATTGGCCCGCTTCGCCTGAGCTCTTTGTCTTGTTTTTTCTCTCTTTTTTAGCATTGTGTCGAGAAGATTGCCACCTACGAAAATGCGCGACACGCGCCGTGGGCGTTCTGTTTTGGAAGAATCGAAAGAGGCGGCGGAATTGACAGGCTTCCGCGCGCGAAACTTTCCCCTTTGTACGACGCCCGACAAAGGCCGCGGCTTGCGAATTCGTTGGCGTTGCACACTTGGCGCGGATCCGCCGTCGCCGCCGCGTATTCCGCTCTGTATTCCGCGTCGCTCGCCGAACTGTGGATACGCGGCGTCATCGAAATAGCGTGCGAAAGCTCGCGCGTAATTTATTTCGGGTTGAACACCATCACTGAACGCGCTTCCCGGCGACACTGCGAGGACCATTGGTAAGGTGACGGTCCCAATTACGAGCCGAGTCCCAATCTCGAGTCAAACTTGGTCTACTAATCCAAGTGAAAAAAGTTATAGTGAGAAAAACGGCAAAAATTTTTTTTAATTTCTCAGTTCTTTCAGAATTATATTCTAAGTCACAAACATTCTTGAACATATAAAAACAGATCTGGGATATCAGTCGTTTTATGGACTTTATCTTTGGATTTGTGAAACCGCTGGTAGGTTATACTACGTATAAGATTACTCAATATGGACCAAAACAACGTGAATCGTGGACATTATTAATATAAAATTGAGGGTCGTATAATCCGTTATGCGAACGCGTAATATTTGCTTAACTCATAATTGACATACTTACGCATAAATGTTTCTGACAATTTTTTTATAATCTAGAGAATAAACTTATTAAAATTCTAACAATTTTGTTTTGAAACTATCACGTTAGTCGTTTATATTGGTACCAACAGTTCGTTTTAATGTTCGACTGGCAAAAGCCAATAATTTATGTAAGCGATTGGAAGTTACTCTTAAATGATCCATAATTAGGACTTAGTTTTCTCGAATTAAGACTCCCTCTGTTCCCTCGTCATCTTAATTGATAACGCCAGAAGAAAATATAAATGCCCAACATTTTTGCAAGATACGGTGAAATTAAATGACACGTCTGTAAAATAAAACGCATAACGAAGTAAATGGTTATGTTCATAAATTTGTGTAATAGATTGAGTAGAATTATAAGCTAATCCGAGAACTCTTTTCGCTCTGATGATGAATAAATAGCCGTGAAGTTGCAGTGATGAAACCATAGTTGAAAGATTGGTCATGTCAATTTTACGGCTATTTTTCTTATTATTAGGGGAAGATGCTTTCGGAATTTCACGGATCTGCTCAATCTATCAAGCGTCATTGTACATATATTAGACATTTATTATCCCAACGTATTTTGCAAAAATATTTCGGTGTGTATTTTTTCACTTCTATGACGTTATCAGTCAAAATTGCCGCGGCGAATTTTAACTACCAATCGAAATCAGTCATTCCGCGCGTTTTTCATAATGTATTGATGTTAAATAATTGGTATCAATATATAAAAATATATAACAATGGCTAAGTGGGATCGGTCGCGACAAAGTACGAGGTCGTGGCGGAAATAACAAGAAAAATAGGAATTAGAGCCCAACAACAGTTTCTCCGTCTATCACGGACAGAAATTATCTCGTAGCAGCCTCGAAGTGGTGCGATTGAGCGAAATTATCGACGATTGAGCGTCGCTGAAAGCGAGAGAGAGGCTCGACAATTAACCGATCACACCTACGACCGCTTTACACGTGGCACGGACGGGGTAACGTTTAAATCGGACAAAAGTCACCCTTACGTGCAAGTCGACCGACACGTGTCTGCCAATTTATTGGCCGCACGTGTCATCGGCTAAACCGCGTCAAAATATTGTGCTCGATCTGAATAGGCCAATTATCGGGCTGCGTTAGTCCAAAACACACTCGCGTGCGCGGCGAAGATTTTCTCCAAGTGCGCGTCGTTTCGATTTCACCGCGTGCGCCGTCAAAATGAAATCCAATTTTTGAAGGGAAATTTTCCCGACGCGACAGTGCGATTATCGTTGAATGGATGGACTTTAATTTGGAATTTTCCAAAGATTTTAGACAATTGAAACTTTTGAGAGCTGAATGTTCAAACTATATGTGAAATAACTACACGGGGAAAATATTGTGTACGAAAAAAGGCTTTGGATGGAGATTAAGCAAAGTTCTGGTAAAATATGAAATGGAACTTCCGGCTGAAGTTATCGCAATTCTGTCCAAGTTAACAAGATTTCTGGTATTCTTCTAAACTTCTTTTTTCCATATAGTAAAAATTACAACAAAAATCTTTGTAGTCTTGGATCATACGGAATTATGGCCAAAATTATTATATATTTGGTTAAAATATTAAGCACGTTTAACTTTTTACTATAAAATTATTGTAATTATTTGAGTGTTTTTTATATGATATACCAGTTGGATAGTCAAGTTTACAATTTCTATAGTGATTTATGTTACTATTTTAGTATAATGTACAGTTTCAAAAATACTGTAAAAAGAAATGTAATTTTGACGTAATTCTCATCACAATATTTTCTCCGTATATTACAAATCCCCTTCCTAATTGAAGCAAATGTAATTCGTCCATTTATCATAAGGACATTTATCATATAAGGATCTGACTTATGTTTTGAAGGAAAAATTGCCTCGCCTTATCATCAAGTTTCGGTCTTTCGCACAGAGTACCTCGACCAGTTATAATATAAACGGGATTGCACCGGAAACGCAAAAACGTTTGAAAAGACACTCAATAATTTGCATAGAAATACGCGAATGAGAGAGAGAGAAAAGAGAGAGAGAGAGAGAGAGAGAGGAAACACGTTTTTGCAATAAAAAAATCATCTCGCGGTGATGTCGTGTTGGAAGTAGTAGGAGAAGGAAAACAACGTTTCTCGGTATCACGATTCTCATTAATGCGAATTTAATCAGTGATCTTCATTAACGTCAACTACCGGCGCTCCCCGTCATTCCTTTGTAAAGATCGGCTCACGCAGAGCCCACGAATTTTCCATCATCATCGGCCGCTCCGCCTCGGATACGGAATCGGTCGGGGAGAGAGAAGAAGAGAGTGTGCGAGAACCTAGAACGCAGCGCGGCTAGCAAAGAGAATAAACGATGCCAAGAAATATCGGCAAAAATTACGGTCCTTAAAAACAGCAGGAGAGAGAGAGTGGAAGAGTGAGAGAGAGAAAGAGAGAAGGAGAGAGAGAGAGAGAGAGAGAGAGAGAGAGAGAGAGAGAGAGAGAGAGAGAAAGTTGCTCGACTTGTTCGTCATCGTCGTCGCCGTCGTCGTCGCCGTCGTCGTCCGAGAGCTGAGAGATGATCAAGGGACCGGCCTCCCATTCGATCTCTTGATCCTCGACGCGCACCCCCGACCTATCCCCCTCCGGACGTTCGCGCGTCCGTTTACTCTCGCGTTCTCTCTCTCGTTCCCTCCTTCTCTCTCTCCCTTTCGTCGTTTTCGTGCCCTCCTACGTCGCGCCTTCCACCCCCGACATCCTCCTTACTTGCTCCTCCGCTCACTCTATCTCTCCTTACCACCCACACACATTCACACACGCACACGTGCGCACACAGACACACACGTAGCCGTGCACATTATTTCTCTCCCTCCCCATCGGTGTCTTCTTCTTTTTTCCTCCCTCGCGTGTTTTGCCAAGAGCCCTCACGGGCGGAAGCGTCACGTACTGCTCTGAAACAAAAACGTAGCGACGTCAAATGCGATTACGAGAGCTGCGAGAGCAGCTCCAGAACGCGGATGCTGCGCTAGGTTAGGTGGAGAACAGCGCAGGCAGCGACGAGGAGAACGAGCGGAGGAGACGGGGGCGCGGAGGACGAAGCGGCGAGGAGACGAGGCCGACGGCGAGGGGGATGTTCGTGCCAGGAGGACGGTTTCGAGGGCGAAGGGGAACGGACGAGACGACGAGGAAGAGCGCGCGCGAGAGTGGGTGAGCGAGGGCAGGGGGCACGGCGCGGCGAGGGGGTGCACGGACGCTTATCAGGGGTGGAGAATTGTCGAGGGGGTGGGCGAGAGAGTCGGGGTTGGGCGAGATTCTGCGAGGGCTCGGAGCGATGGCTCGGGCGAACGCGCGCGCGCGCGCGCGTGTGTGTACGCTGTGTGTGGATATGTGCACATGTGTATGTGTGTGTGTGTATACGCATGTATGCATATGCCTCTGTGTACACGGATGCGCGCGTACGCGCACGGCGGCTGTGTGTGTGTATGCGCGCGAGGAAGTTTAGCGCGTGCGTTTAGATGCGTGCGCGCGTGTACGCGCGCGAAAAATCGATCGCGCCGTTCGACGCGTGCAATCGTCGGACACTAGCTACGAACGAGCCGTAGGTAACTCCGCAGAACCGTCCGCTGGTTAATTACTGTAATTATTATTGTTTTTATTGTTGTTGTCGCCGTGACTTTCGCGACGAGTATCGCGACGTCGGATGATTTTCCTCACGTCGTTTCCTCCACCGGCTCCAATATGTCGATCGCTCGACCACGCTTTTGCGTGGAAAAAGCGACGACATCCCCTACGTTAAGTCGCGCAGCCTTTCGCTCGTCGTTTTTGCTTTCAATTGCCCTATGACGATAGAATCTTGCCAGTAGATAGCGTATTTTCTACGCTCCGCGCATCGTCCTATATCTCACGATGGCAGAACAATTCGGAAAAAAGAGAGAGAAAAAAAAAGGAAACGAATCTCCACCACTCACGGGGATGAGACGGAGTAACGTATTTTCTGGATGACACCCGTTAGAATTAACGTTTCGACGTTGGCGGCCGGAGCCGACGATGGTCGCCAAGCCTCCATTAAAAAGTTGTTAAACGCAGCCTGACGGCGCCCCGCGGCAAATTGGAACCCCATCGTAAGTCTTCCTTGTATATAATGTACATAGCTGTTAGAGCAAGCCATCTACAAGATAGTGAGATCGAAGTAATTAAGTATTCGACGGAGAGATATTTTGATCAGGCGCGTCGCGCTACCAGCCGGCGGATGTGTGCGTGAGAGAAAATTAGAATTTCTATCTCTCGAGCGTGAGAGATTACGTTAAAAGGGCGTGTATTTAACAAAAAAAAAAGATTTACTACAGAGAATTAGGAAGGGAGTTTGTATATTATTTTTTTTATATATTATTTTTCGGGTCAGTTTCGGAGATTCTCAGGTCGTGATAAAATTATTAAATATAAATATAAGAAATTACGGAAAAGTTCAAATAATTACAAAATCGATCGAGTTTCATGAACGAATATCATGCAACAAATAAATAAGGGATACTTTTCAAGTTGCAGTTTCGCGATTCTGAGGGAAATTTTTTTTGCAAAATGAATGTCGCGTCGAATTTCGGTCGATTCACGACTGCAATACTTCTCGCCGTGTGGCTTAATAAATGCCGTTAATTATAATTTTATATTTAACACGGAATTGCAAGAGAGACGAGCGTCTTGATGCTGATAAATTAATCGGAATTTTTCGACGATCAACGAACGCGTACTCAGCCGCGTCGCATTCACGACATCGACAGAAATGCGTCCGACGCGAATCTATTATCCTTTCTCGCAATTGTGACAGTTAATATCGGCCATTATCCGAGAGAGAAGGAGCACAAAGGCGGCCTCGTCGTCAAGTTTTGTGTCACGAAGACGCAATAAATTTGTTTGACATTTTCCGTCCATTTCTTCCATCTCCTCGCGCGCCACTTCTTTTTCCGAGAGAGGAATAGCTCTCGAACAAGTTCAACGTTTTCTACGTAACGCTGACTGGAAACTCTTGGCCAGACCAACGGAGAGGTTCAAAATAAGAGAAAAGCACCGCGTAAAAAGCATCGAAGTGGTGTGGTGCCTGGAGAGAGGGAGGATGGTTTAAAAGTACATGGGATGGAAAAGGTGTGTAAAGGACGTATAGGTAATACTGTAAAATGTAAAGCTGTGCAAGTGCGCGCGCAACGAAATCTACTTCTCGCCCCTAATGGAAAAGTCACTTATTACAATAAATACTGTTCGTAAAATTTCCGTGTATTTCTCAATATTATCGTTGCCGTAGGAAAATTATACAGTAAAATGTGCGAAAACAACAGACGGAGATGCATTTTTATGCGAGTAATGCAAAGGAACGATTAGGATTTTGCAAAAACATATAAATTTTGTGCAATCAGTAATTATATACCTTGATCCTCCTTAAATCTGCAGGATAGCTTCAAAATCTTTTGCTCCAATAGAAAAATATTCACACACAGTGACTCTGCTGTTATTATACATACATATATATATATATATATATATATATATATATATATATATATAACATATATATATATATATATATAACATATATATATACACGGAAAAAAAGGTTTGGTTGAATTATTATTAAGTTAACAAGATTTTTGGTTGTCTTAAACAGAATTCGGGTTACTTCAATCGGAATTTCTGGATCGTTCATATTCGACCAGATATTTGGTTAATTCAACTTAATCTTTTTCCGTATATATATATATATATATATATATATATATATATATATATATATATA